AAAAAAAAAAAAGGGCCCTGTGACAAAGGTCTTAAACAGCAGTGGCAGGGTACAAGGAAGGGCGTCACAGGCTGGGGGTGCACTGGCAACACTACAAGTCCCTGCGTCCTCTCTCTGTCCTGCAGGTGGGGCGAGAAGACTCCGGCCACTCCCTGTACCACCACAGGAAGGCCCTGATGCTGCCAGCCAAGCACGGCTTCCACCTGCCTTACTTCTTCCACGCTGGAGAGACCGGTGAGGCGCCATGGCTGGGTACCGTGGCTTGGGGTGGGGAGTGCCAGGCTCGCGTCACCGGCCGTCGGCCTTTCCTGGCCCTCTACTTCTGGAGCCCTGTCCTGCGCATCGCCTTATTTAATCCTGACAACAGCCTTGTGGGGACAGGTCCCGTGGTCACAGTGCCTGCCACCCACACGCGTGCTTGCCAGGGCCCACCCTGTCTGGCGAGGAGGTGTCTTCCTCTCCACATCGGAGCAGGGCGAGGTTGGGTCGCTGAGCCGTGGAGCCCCGATTTGACCCCGTTCTGCTGATCTCTTACAAGAGACTCCTCTGGAGCAGTGAGGTGGCCTGCCAAGGTCGCACGGTGGGAACCTGCCGGAAAGGGCTGGCGCCTGCCCCGCCACCTTGGGAGGCCACACTCCAGGGCCAGGGCCAGGGAGGAGCCCACTGCTGCCCGAGCAGCCCCGCTCTTCTCTGTGAGATTCCTCAGCCTGACCATACCTTGTCCCCGAGCCCCTCCCATGTCCTGGTCCTTGAAACAGGTCAGCCCTCGGCAGATCTGGCGGTCCTTCCCCGTGAAACGGAAAAGCTCGGGAACGGGGCCTGGCCCAGGAGGGCCGCTCTGCCAGATGCCTGCACCTGTCCCTCAGCAGCCAGCGGGGCAGAGTGGCCCCAGCAGGCTCCCGTCTCTGTCACGCCGTCTCTCAGAGCGAGGGTCCTCTTGCATTAACTCCTCCCCGCATTTCCAGTCAATTCCTATCCCATTTAGATCCGAGCCTGCTCTGGGAGCTGTGAAGAGTTGTCTGTGGGCGGTGGGGCGTGGGGTGATAACCTTGCAGAGCTGTGGCCTACTGGAAAAGATCACGCTTACCCGTGTGAGAGAATTCTAGCAGTAGGGGACAGTGTAACAAGGATCTGACCAAGTGCCAACATTTACGGCCCTTGGGGAAAAGTTTGCCCAACACTTGCGCATTTAATACCCAAAAGTAATGTCCTTATGTTTAAAATTTGCTAGAGGGTATGTATGCTCTCCAGAGAGAGACAGAGAAAGACAGAATGAGCACGCTCTCAGGGTGTGGCCATGCCTCCTGTCTGGAAAGGGCTGGGGCCTGCTCCGCCACCTTGGGAGGCCATACTCCAGGGCCAGGGCCAGAGAGGAGCCCGCTGCTGCCCGAGCAGCCCCGCTCTTCTCTGTGAGATACCTTAGCCCGTCCCCTATTCCTCCTTTCGGGATTCTGGGCATGCGTACCCACGGGCCCGGTGTGCTTTCCAAGCGGCTGGATCTGGGATGTGGACAGCACGTTGGTCATGTGGGGTCAAGCCTCCTTAGCCACGACGTCACTGGACGATCCAATGTCCTTATATTAAAATAAGAGGAAAAAATCTTTTTAAAAAAATGAATAAATGAATTTTATTTTTCAGAGATTTTTACCATAGAGTACATGTGCTTGCCAGAGAGGCAGAAAGCAAGAAGTCACCCCCCAGGGGGATGGCCACACCACAATCCCTTCTCCTCCATTCTCCTCTTGGGATTTTAGGCATGCACTCACATGCACCCGGCATGAGTTTCAAGCTGCTGGTTGGGACTCAAGTTATAGTCGGCTGTGTGGGAGTCCAGCTCCTTAACTTGGTGGTGTAGTGACACCACTGCTGGCCCTGAATGAATGAATTTAAATGCCAAAGCTTAAGTCACCAGAACGAGACACAGAGAGGGAGGAAACACCCCCCACATGGGGTGTGGCCATGCCGTGATTTCTATTATATTTTTTAAGAGTTTTTTTTTTTTTTTTGCCTTAGGGCGCGTTGCACTTGCCAGACAGACCAGAGAGACAGAAAGCGAGAAATCACCCCCTAGGGGGGGATGGCCACACTGCAATCCCTTCTCCTCCATTCTCCTCTTGGGATCTTGGGCATGCATGCACACGCACCCGGCGTGAGTTTTAAGCCACCGGGTCTGGGATGCGAACTGCGATCGACTACGTGGGAGTCCAGCGACATAGCCATTACGCTCACTGCTGGTCCCATGATTTACTTTTATCCATTTCTCCATCCTGTTGGAACTTGGGCGTGTACACATATGTACTGGTGTATTTTTAAAGCCATACAGGCCGGAATCTGAACCGAGTCGTCCATATGAAATCTGGCTCTCTTAACCACTATGCTATGGGGATGGCCTAGGAAAAGAAGACTTTTTTTTTTTTTTAAAGAATGCTTTATTTAATTTTATTTATTTTTATTATCATTTGTGTTTCTTTTTGGAGAGGTTGTTGCTATAGGGCACGTACGTTCACCAGGAAGACAGAGAGAGACAGAGAGACAGAAAGCGAGAAATCACCCCCCGGGGGGATGGCCACGCTGCAATCCTTTCTCCTCCATGTTTCTCTCAGGATCTTGGGCATGCATGCACACGCACCCAGCATGACTTTAAGCCACTGGATCCGGGACTCGATCTGCAGTTGACTACATGGGAGTCCAGCGACATAGCCATTATGCTAACAGCTGGTCCCAATTATTATTATCATTTTTTCCTTCTAAAATTCAACAGAGAGAGACAGAGAAAGAGATAGGAAGCGATAAGGCAAACCACCAGGTCTGGGACTTGAACTGTGGCCGGCCATGCAAGAATCCAGTGCCTTAACCACTGCAGCACCTGCTGGCCCAAGAAGAAATCTTTAAATAGTGATGAGTCATGTAAAATATATGCCTGAACCGGCAGTGGAAATTCTTCAGTTTTATTTCGAACAGAAAAGTAGACTCTTCCTAGTTTGTGTGCGGATCAGTTAGGGCGCTTTTGTCTGTGAGAGGAGCATAGTGGGTCCTCTGTACCTGCAGGCCCGCATTCACGGGCTCAATCAAAGGCACATTGAAAGTATTTAGGGGTCAGCAGTGGTATGGGGGGCTAAGGTGCTGGACTCCCACATGGCTGAGGTTCGAGTCCCAGACTGGGTGGCTTGCAAATCACACTGAGCACATGTGTGTGTGCCCATAATCTCAACAGAAAAACGGAGATGGGATTGCAGTGTGGCCATCCCCGCGGGGTGATTTTTCACTTTCTCTTTGTCTTTCTCCAGCGAGCACATGCTCCCTATGGCAAAAAAAAGAAAAAAAAAAAAAGGAAAAAATTAGTTGCATTGGTACTTAACATATATAGTTTTTCTTGTCTTCATTCCCTAAATATTACAGTATAACAGCTATTTACAGGGCCAGCAGATGGCCTGGCAGTTACATCACTGGACTCCCACATGGTCGACTGAGGTTCTAGTCTCAGACCCAGTGGCTTGAAAATCACACCAGGCACATGTGAGCACCCAAGATCCCTGGAGGAGAATGGAGGAGAAGGGATTGTGACAATTTCTTACTTTCCCCCTCACCGTCTCTGTATCCCTCTCTCGCCAGCTAGTACACTTGTCATAAGGAAAAAAGCTCTAAAAACAAACAAGAAACAAAACTGGGGCCAGCAGGTAGCGTCATGGTTACATTGCGGACTTCCACATGGCCGACCGCAGTTCTCATCCCAGACCCATGGGCTCAAAACTCAACGTCAGGCGCGTGTGTGTCCAAAGGCCAGAGGAGGATGGTGGCGTGGCCATCTTGCTTTCTGTCTCTCCGGCAAGCGCACGCCCATATAGCAAAAATATGTCTTAAAAAAAAAAAGCGAGAACCAGCAGTTAGCGTAATGGCCATGTCACTGGACTCCCACGTAGTCCACCGCGGTTCGCATCCCGGACCCGGTGGCTTAAAACTCATGCCGGGCGCGTATGCATGCGTGCCCAAGATCCCGAGAGGAGAATGGAGGAGAAGGGATTGCAGTGCGACCATCCCCCCTGGGGGGTGATTTCTCGCTTTCTGTCTCTATGTCTCTCTCTGTCTGGCGAGCGCATGCGCCCTATAGTGAAAAAAAACTCTCAAAAAAAAAAAAAAAAAGCTGCTGACCCAGCACTTCTGCTGTGCTGGGCAGGAGTAAGTGGAGATGGTTTCCGGGAGCCGGGAGGACGTGCACGGTTGCGTGTGCAGGTGCCGTGTCACCATACGTGATGACATGATAGCCACCAGCTGTGGGGCCAGGGTCCTGCATGGACCGGTCTCGTGTGGGTGCGGAAGGACACGCAGGGCTCGGGGAGGCTGGTCCTTATTTGTACGAGCAGTCCACTGTGCTCGCCGGCTCCGGGACTGGTCCCCCTCTGTCACTGGACAGTGTGTCACGTTCAGGTGTGACCGCGTCAGTGAGGCAGGAGACGCGACCTTTCCTTCAGTGCGTCTTTCTGTAAGGGAGGAACAGCACTGGGACGATCCTGGCAGGGACGCCCGGGGAAGCCGGGACCTGTCGTTTTACTCTCCAGAGAGGACCTTGCAGTGTGGTGGGGGCTGCGAGGGCGTTTGTGGCGTTATGGGGGATGGCCACTGTGCTGCCGTGGTTGGTAAGGCCTCCAGGGCTGTTCAACACAGAGCAACATACGTGCAGACAGCAGTGACGCCGACTTTATAAACAAGAGTCTGCACAGTGCTGAGAAGATCTTAGCCCTGACATTGCTAGAAATTAGCTCCAGAGGGGCCAGCAGGTGGCAGAGTGGTGAAGGCACTGGACTCTCACAGGGTTCACCATGGTTTGAGTCCCAGACCTGGCGGCTTGAAACACGCCAGGCGCACGTGTGTGCGTGCCCAAAATCCTGAGAGGAGAATGGAGGAGAGGGGATGGCGGCGTGGTCATCTCCCCCACCCCCCGGGGGGTGATTTCTTGCTTTATCTGTCTTTTTGTCTCTTGCGAATACATACACCCTATAGGGAAAACAAACAAACAAACAAACAAAAAACACTTAAAAAATGGAAAGAAATTAGTTCTAGAAACAAACCTGAAGGGGAAGAATAACGAGGAGTCAGACACACCAGGGCTGAAGCTCAGTTTGCTACTTATTTGCTGAGTGTCCTTGGTCAATTTATAAAACCTACGGTAGGTTTCAACTCCCTCATCTGATTAATTGATTACTTGATTAATTAAAGGCACACAGACCTTTCTTTAGAATTGTTAAAAGGCGCCCGCATGTGCGCGCGTGTGTGTTTGTGTGTGCGTGTGTGCGTGTGTGTGTGTGTGTGTGTGTGTGTGTATTTGTATCAATGTCAGTTTCTCTCTTCTTGCTTGGGGGCTCTGGAGCCTTTATCTCGGAGGTCCGAGGTCAGCCCGTCCATCCCCTATTGAAGACTCTCCGTTTGTTCCCAGACTGGCATGGCACATGGGTGGACAAGAACCTTCTGGACGCCCTCCCGCTGAACTCCACCAGAATCGGCCACGGGTTCACCATGAGCAGACACCCGGCGGTCCGGTCTGACTCCTGGTATAAGGACATCCCCATAGAAGTCTGCCCCATCTCCAACCAGGTGTGCCCCGGGGCTGGTCTCCAACGATGCCCGCCTCCCTCGGCCTCTGTTCCGGTCCCCCGACTTCCTTCTGGAGAATCCTCTCTTGAATCCACTCGCTTTTTGTGTCCCTCTACCCGCCCACGTCTGTCAGTAAAGTAAAGTGATTTAGCAGAGACCTTTTGCCCAAACCACTCAGAATACCCAGGCAGCAGTAAGGGTCCCCTGTGGGTAGCATTTTGCTCCAAACTGCAAAGTGAGTGTGACGCTGGGAAGGCTGGTGAGATGGGAAGGGGCTGTCAGCTGAGGCTTCCAGCGGCTTCTGGGGTGCCTGTGCCCCTTGCCTGCCTCGCCTGTTCAGGAGAGCTTCCCGGCACTGGACCGAGAGAGCTGGACCAAGCATCTGTTGTGCCGATGAAACTTGGAGAAAACTAAGACGGGCACCAGGAGGGGCCAGCAGGAGATGTGGGGGCTGAGCTGCTGGATCCCACAGGTCAACCCCGCGGTTTGAGTCCTGGGCCTGCTGGCCTGAAAGACATGCCGGGTGCATGGGTGTGTGCCCAACATCTCAGAGGAGAATGGAGGAGAAGGGGTTGCAGCGTGGCTATTCCCCGCCTGGGGGAGGTGGTTTCTCACTTTCTCTCTGGCGAGTGCACGCACCCTATGGCAAAAATCTCTCTCTCTCTCTTTTAAGAATTATTTATTTAAGACTAGCAGATGGCATAATGGTTACATTGTTGGACTCCCACATACTCAACTGCGGTTTGAGTCCCAGACCAGGTGGCTTAAACTCACGCTGGGCACGTACGTGTGTGCCCAAAATCCCAAGAGGAGAATGGAGGAGAAGGGATTGCAGAGTGGCCATCCCTGAGTGGTGATTTCTCGCTTTCTGTCTCTGTCTCTCTGGTGAGCACATGTGCCCTACAGCAAAAAAAATCTCTCTTAAAAAAAAAATAATAAGAGGAGGACTAGCACGTGGCATGGTGGTTAAGGTGCCAGACACTCCCACTCCTACATGCCTGACCATAGTTTCAGTCCTGAGTCTGGTAACTTGCTTTCTCCCCCACCCCACTCTCACTCTCTGTCTCTCTCTGGTCAAATTAAAATAAATGAATGAGGGAACCAGCAGTTAGCGTAATGGCTATGTCGCTGGACTCCCACGTAGTCAACCGCGGTTTGCGTCCCAGACCCGGTGGCTTAAAACCCACGCCGAGCTTGTGTGCATGCGTGCCCAAGATCCCGAGAGGAGAATGGAGGAGAAGGGATTACGGCGTGGCCATCTCCCCCTGGGGGGTTGATTTCTCGCTTTCTGTCTCTCTGTTTCTCTCTGTCTGGAGAGCGCACACGCCCTATAGTGAAAAACCTCTCACAAAAAAAAAAAAAAAAAAGAATAAAGAAAATGAAATCTTTAAAAAAAAGAATTATCTATATAATTTAATTTTATTTGTTCATTATCTTCTAATTTGCTACAGTGTATGCACACTCTGCAGAAAGAGAGAGAGAGAAAGAAAGGGAAAGTGAGAAAGTAAGCTGCCAGGTCTGGGACTTGAACCACTGTTGACCGTGTGGGAGTCCAGTACCTTAACCACCAGGGCCCAGCTCTGCTCCTGGGTCAAACTTGTCCCAGAGGTCCTCCTTGTCTCAATATTCATGGCGATAGGGATAAGCAGGGAGCTCAAGGTCTCACCTCCTTCCTGACACATGTTTTTATTTTAAGAGAGGTTTTTTACTATAGGGCGCATGCGCTCACCAGAAAGACAGAGAGAGAGAAAGAAAGTGAGGAATCACCCCCAGAGTGGATGGCCATGCCACAGTCCCTTCTCCTTCACTCTCCTCTTGGGATCTTGGGCACACATGTGCACGTGCCCGGTGTGAGTTCAAGCCACCGGGTCCAGGACTCGAACTGCGGTCAACTACATGAGAGTCCAGCAATGTAGCCATTACGCCACCTGCTGGTCCTGTGACAAATCTTTTTATGGCCCCCTGGCTTCCCCTGGGCAGGTTCTGAGACTGGTGTCTGACCTGAGAAACCACCCTGTGTCCTCCCTGATGGCCATCGGGCAGCCCATGGTGATCAGCTCGGACGACCCCGCCATCTTTGGTGCCAAGGGCTTGTCCTATGATTTCTACGAGGCCTTCATGGGCATTGGGGGCCAGGAGGCTGACCTGAGGACCCTCAAAAAGCTGATCATCAACTCTATCAAGTGAGTGCCCGTCCCTCCCAGGTCCCACCTGGTGTCTGCCTCTCCTAGAGGTTCCAGAGAGGCCTCTGGTCCCGGGGGTTTGGCGGGCGCATCATCACGGCCCACTCTTGCTCGGGGCTGGGGAAGACCTGAGGTGACCTGGAGGCCTTGCCCTGCTCCCTGGCCTCTCCTAGCGCTGACCTGGGCTGTCTGCTCCCTGCAGGTACAGCGCCCTGACGACGGCAGAGAAAAACGCCTTTTATAGCCGGTGGAAGGTGAGATGGGCCGAGTTCATCGCTAAGCTGGCGAAGAAGCCGGTGTGAGAAGACGGCTTCCCCTCTGCTCCCCACCAGCCATCTGCTCTCGGTCCCTGACCACTCATGGATCGTTCTCCCCCCTTCCCGAGTCCACTCCTGTATCTAGCCTGACCTTGTGAAGGTCATAGCCTCAGTGTTGATCGGACCTGTCAGACACGCCGATCAGCTGACCAGTCATGCTGAAACATCCCTGTCACCCTCGGCGACGCCAAGGGTCCTGGCTGCCCTCCCCGACCATGGCTTCAGCAGAGCCCCCCGCACCTGATCCCCGCTGGCTCCTCTGGGCTCAGTCCTGGGCTCCTCTCTTCCTGTCTCTGGAGTTCTCTGCTCTCCCCTCTCCTTTTCTCGCTCTGCACGTTTCTTAGCTGGTCTCACCCATCCCTTTGCTTTTAAATACCAGTGACTTGGGGCTGGCAGGTGCATGGTCGTTGGGGGTGCTGGATACCCACATAGCTGACCGTGGTTCAAATCCTGGACCTGGCAGCTGGCTTTTTCACTCCTCCCCCCACCCCCATCCCTCTCTGGTCAAATTAAAATAAATAAATACATACATAAATAAAGTTAAATAAAATAATTCTTTTAAAAGGTAAATAAGTAAACGCCAGTGACTTGGTGAGTCCTAACGCGTGGGCTCACTCTGCACTCGAGGGACCTCAGGGGTGACTAGGCGTGGCTCCCAGCTCTCCGCTTCTCCTGACCTTACCCATCTTGGTCAGTGACATCGCCACCCATTGACCCATTGCTGGAGGCGGAAACTCTGAGTGACATTCCTGACACCACCCTCTTCCCCGCTCTCCTTGCAAATGGGCCGAGCCCAGCTGGTCCGTGATTAGCTGAGCACCCTCTCAGCCCGCCCGAGTCAGCACAGACCGGTACCCTCTTCTCCTCTGCCCCCTCCACATTTGTTTGAACCCCGTGGTCAGGAGAATTGATGCAGCTCAACCCCAGGCAGTGGGGCCGGGTCCAGAGTTTCCTGATGGGGAGATCTGGGCCCAGTACTAGTTGTGAGGGAGTTGTCAGAAGCCACGCCCTGTCCTCAGTGAGGCACGCCAGGGGCACAGAACAGGCCAGCCCTTGAACTTCAGCCTGTTGTCAAGCGTAAGGGCTCTGTCGCTGGACTCCCGGGTAGCCGACCACAGTTCGAATCCTGGACCTGGTGGTTTAAACTCACGCCAGGTGCGTGTGCGTGTGTGCCCAAGATCCGGACAGAATGGAAGAGGAGGGATTGCGGTGTGGCCATCCCCCCTGGGGGTGATTTCTCGCTTTCTGTCTCTCTGTCTCTCTCTGTCTTTCTGGCAAGTACACACACCCTATAGCAAAAACCTCTCCAAAAAAATATTTTTTTTGCTGGGGCTTGGGGGCCAGCAGGTGGTGTGGTGGTTATGGGCATGGCACTCCCACATGGCGGACCACAGTTCGAGTCCTGGACCTGCTGGCTTGCTTTCCCGCTTTCCCTTTCTCTCTCTCTCTGTCCCTCTCTGGTCAAATTAAAATAAGCAAACAAATAAATAGAGTTAAATATTTCTTTAAAAATAATTTGCTGGTGGGAACCAGCAGTTAGCGTAATGGCTATGTCGCTGGACTCCCACGTAGTCGACCATGGTTCGTGTCCCGGACCTGGTGGCTTAAAACTCACGCCGGGCGCGTGTGCGTGCGTGCCCAAGATCCCGAGAGGAGAGTGGAGGAGAAGGGATTGCGGCGTGACCATCCCCCCTGGGGGGTGATTTCTCGCTTTCTGTCTCTATGTCTCTCTCTGTCTGGGGAGCGCACGTGCCCTATAGTAAAAAAAAAAAACCCTCTCAAAAAAAATAATAATAATTTGCTGGTGCTGGCAGGTGGCATGGTGGCTGAGGTACTGGACTCCCACATGGCTGACTGCAGTTTGAGGCCTGGGCCTAGTGGAGTGTTTATCACTTTCCTTCCTCTCTCTCTGTGTCTCTCTCTCTGATCAAATTAAAGTAATAATAATGGGGTCCAGCAGGTGGTGTAGTGGTTAAGGTGCTGGACACTCCCACGTGGCTGGCCACGGTTTGAGTCCTGGACCTGGTGGCTTGCTTTCTCACTTTCTCTCTCTCTGTGTGTGTGTCTCTCTGGTCAAAATAAAATAAGTAAGTGAATAAATAAAATTAGAAATAATTTAAATTAATTAATTAATTTAAAAATGGATAAAATTAAATAAATAATTTGCCATAGGGTGGAGGGGAGGAGAGAGAGAGAGAGAGAGGGTAAACTCAGTCCCCGGGGGGATGGCCACCCTGCAGTTCCTTCTCTCCGGAGTTTGGCCATAAACACACACACACACACACGTATCTGGTGTGTTTTTCAAGCCACCTGGTCCATGTAGTCGGCCATGTGGGATCCAGCTGTTCAATCACTAGGCCACTGGCTGGCCCTTTGTGGGAGTTTTTTTTTTCCTTCTTAAATAATTTATTTTATTTAACTTTATTTGTTTATTTGAATTTGACCAGAGGGACAGGGAGAGAGAGCGTGAGAGAAAGGGAAAATGAGAAAGCAAGCCACCAGGTCCGGGACTCAAACCATGGTCGGCCATGTGGGAGTCCCGCACGCCACCTGCCAGCCCCACCTTTGTGGGAGGTTTTACACCACAGACACCAGCACACGCCCCAGTGTCCCCACCACGTGTGGGATGTGGACCAGCAGGTGGCGCACTATGTCGGTCTGTCCTGTGCTCACTGACGCCAGCCAGGCGCTGCTGTGGCGTCCCCTGCCCCCGCCGTGGTCGCGAACGGTGCAGTGGGGAGGCGCTCTGAGTAAACATCTGGGGCAGGCCAGCCGCAGTGGCGCAGAGGGAGGCGAAGCACCGGCCAGGCCCTGGGTTCGAGTCCTGGGGCTTCCCTGTACCTGCAGGTGTGTGTTCAGGTGTGCCCAGGCCCTGGCTGGCTGAGGCCATGGCGGGCTGTGCAGTGAAGATCCTGTCAGGTGACTGTCTTGCGCTCGTGGAAGAAGTTAAATCTAACAAAAAAGAGAGAGAAAAATGTTTTCTCTCCTTATAAAGATCTTGGTGTCAGGGCCAGAAGATGGTGTAATGGCTACGTCACTGGACTCCCACTTGACCAACTGTGGTTCGAGTCCCGGACACAGGGTGCATGTGTGTGTGTGCCCAGAATCCCGAGAGGAGGATGGAAAGAAGGGATTGCAGCATTATCCCCCCAGGGGGGTGATTTCTTGCTTTCTGTCTCTCTGTCTCTCCAGCAAGCACACATGCCCCATAGCAAAAATCTCTCTCTAAAAAAAAAACAACCTTGGTGTGGGTGTTTAAGGCTTTGGTTAACTCCATGGTTTGAAGCTCAGACCCGGTGACTTGAAAAACATGCGTGTGTATGCCCAAAGGTCCAAGAGGAGAATGGAGAAGGGATTGCCACGTGGCCACCCCCCAGGGGTGATTCCTTACTTCTCCTTTCTTCCTCTCTGCCTCTCTCCAGCAAGCACATGTGCCTTATGACAAAAATCTTAAAAAAAAAAAAAAAGTATTATTCTGCATCGAAACTTTACCTATTAGTTTTGACATCTATAGCTTTTTGTCTGAATCTACTGTTATTATGACAGTTACTGTTCCAGTCTTTTTTTTTTTTTTTTTTTTTTGAGAGCTTTTTTTTTTTTTTGGAGACGTTTTTCACTATAGGGCACGTGCGCTCGCCAGACAGACAGAGAGAGACGGAGAGACAGAAAGCGAGAAATCACCCCCCAGGGGGGATGGCCATGCTGCAGTCCCTTCTCCTCCATTCTCCTCTCGGGATCTTGGGCAAGTACGCACACACGCCTGGCGTGAGTTTTAAGCCACCGGGTCCGGGACTCGAACCGTAGTCGACTACATGGGAGTCCAGTGACATAGCCATTACGCTAACTGCTGGTTCCCCCCCCCCTTTTTTTTAAGAAAGAGTTTTTGGGTGTGTGTGCTCTCCAGAGAGACAGAAAGTGAGTAGTCACCTCCCAGGGGGATAGCCACAATCCCTTCTCCATTCTCCTCTTGGGATTGGGCATGCACGCACACATGCCTGGCGTGAGTTTTAAGTCACCAAGTCCGGGATGCAAACTGCGGTCGACTATGTGGGAGCCCAATGCCGTAGCCATTGTGCCCTCTGCTGGCCCCACTGTTTCAGTCCTTTATTACCCTGTATCAAATTATGCAGAAACTCAGTGACCAAACAAACAGTAAAGTTGGTCATCTCTGGCTCGCCTGTGGCCAGATCCCCCCGACCATGGTTTGAATCCCGGCTGCAGTGGCTTGAGGAACATGGGTGTGAGTCTGCGCATGCCCCAGACCCCAACAGGCGGAGACCCTGGGGCTCCGGAAATGATCCCTGACACTCCGAAGGAAAGAAATCGCCTCAAAACCGAGGACTCCTGATCTCCCCTCGTCCCTCCCTGGCCCTGCATTTCTCTGGGAGCTTGGACAGGACCAGATGGGCTTTTCTCTGAAGCTCCCTTATCTGCAGGAGGGCCGGATCTGCAGGAGAACACAACCGCGTCCAGTCTGTTCGCGGCAGTTTCATTAACCACATCAAACTCATAACACAGAGGGGAGACCGAAAACCAAACATCTCCCTGCGAGCCTGGCTGGACTTTGCCCCAGGCCAGTGTGTGTCCCCAGGCCCATTCCTCTCTCCTAAAAATCATTTACTGTCCCCGTGCAAGTGCCCCCAGCCCCGCAGTTGTGAGGAGGCATCCCCTGTGGGGCACGCGAGTGACTCCCGGGCTCATGCATGTCACCAAATCCATGGTTTCTCCTATTAATCTCTTTTCTTTTGGAGAGGTTTTTGCTATAGGCCCTGTGTGCTCACCAGAGAGACAGAGAGAGACAGAGAGACAGAAAGCGAGAAATCGCCCCCTGGGGTATAGCCACGCCGCAATCCCTTCTCCTCCATTCTCCTCTCGGGATCTTGGGCACACACGCACACGCGCCTGGTGTGAGTTTAAGCCACCGGGTCCGGGACACAAACCACAGTCAACTACATTGGAGTCCAGCGACATAGCCATTATGCTAACTGCTGGTCCCTAGTCCATCTATTTTCTTTCCTTTTTTTAGTTTTGAGAGAGAGAGAGAGAGATCTCCCCCGGGGGGATGGCGATGGCTATGCAGCACTCCTTTCTCCATTCTCTTGGGATGTGGGGTGCACACGCACGTTCGAGTGTGGGTCCAGGACTTGAACTGCGAGTCGGCATCAGGGATCCAGCGCCTCAACCACGCATCATCTGGCCCAGTCAGTCTGTTTTCAGTTCAGCCGACTTGGACTCAGACTTCAGAGCAGGGGAAGAAAGTGTCTGGTCCCTACACTGTCTTGGCAGTGCGGTTGGCGGCCTGGAATCCATAATCCGTTTTCAGCTTCACACACATGAGTCCAGATCCGGCCACAGGAAGCCCTTGAGCCGTCTCCTGAAGTCCCCAGTTTTGAGCACTCCCTGACTTTGCCACACAGTACGATACTCTAGGTTCCGGCAACACGGTGTGCAGTGGTGACGCACTGCTGGGGCAGTACCGGATCTGCACGGGAGGTCGC